ATCAGTGTCTATTAAACAAAGGAAAAGGTAACACATGACTTTCGTGCTGACTTTTGTAATGTTATAGAGATGAATAAAGTTTAAGTCTTTTATGTGATAAAAACCACAAAAAGTAGAAATTTTGCAATATGAGTGATTTTATTTTTTTTGGTGGATGATTATTTACAGGTTTGTTGTTGAAATTTGAAACTCAAGAACAAGAAGACACTTTTTTTTTGTTTTATACATTTGAAGACTTAGAGATGATAAGGTAAAGGGAAAAAAGTGTTCAATTTTTATGGTCACCCTCAGTTTTCAATTTTTTTTCTGAGTATTTGTGTTTTGTGGTTAACTTCAGTTTCCAGGAAACTTACGTTTAATGGACATTTTACCTACAAGCAGTGATAAGAATACACTAAAGAAGTGGTTTTTCATTGACAAAAGAGTTGGATAAAAAAGTGTGTGTTTAAAAGAAGNCGCCATCGAATTTTTCTTGTTTGGAAGTTGGAGTTCGATGGATTTGAATATAAACAAGGCGTCCACTGTTCTTACTGACCCTGCACCAGTAAACAAATCAAGGCTCGGATCGTCCTTTCCCTCGGGAAGATTCATGATGCATTCGAGGAAAAAGATCCCTAAACTCGACGATGTTAGATCCAATGGTTGGTTGGACGCAATGATTTCATCGTCCCCTCCTCGTAAAAGGCTCATCAAGGATTTCAACATTGAGATTGCTCCTGAAGATGATTTTGCTCAACGAGCTTGGATGGTAATATAGTTATATCTCATCAGCGATTAGCTCGTTTCATTGACGAATGTTTTGATCTCTTACCAGTCTTGCCACTTTCATTCTTAAATTTGGACAGCTTAAGTATCCTTCAGCGATTAGCTCGTTCGGGCATATTGCAGCTCAAGCAAAGAACAAGAAGATAGCTGTGTTTCTTGATTACGATGGAACGCTTTCACCAATTGTCGATGACCCTGACCGTGCCATCATGTCTGATGCGGTAAGAACTGAAACCCCAAACCTTACATATGCTTTCTGGTCAGAACACAAAAGGCTAAGCTTGCTTTCTATACCTCTCTCAGATGCGTGCGGCTGTTAAAGATGTCGCCAAGTACTTCCCAACCGCAATAATTAGTGGTAGAAGCCGTGACAAGGTGGAAACTCTTAAACCATATATATTAAAGGATTAATTAATAGAATAGTTTTAACAAACAGGGTACTTACTAGAATAATCTTCACAAAATATCAAAACTTAACAAAAGACATATAAACCTCTGTAAAACCTTTTAATTATGAAAATGTCATTCTAACTATT